TTCCTCTAACATTAGGAACAAGACAAGGATGTCCACTCTTGCCACTATTACTAAGCATAGTTTTGGAAGTCCTAGCCATGGCAATCAGAGAAGAAAAAGAAATAAAAGGAATGCAAATTGGAAAAGAAGAAGTAAAGCTGTCGCTGTTTGCAGATGACATGATACTATACATAGAGAATCCTAAAGATACCACCAGAAAACTACTAGAGCTAATCAATGAATTTGGTAAAGTTTCAGGATACAAAATTAATGCACATAACTAGTAAGAACCTGATATATAAAAATAAATAAAATATATTAAAAATAAATAAAATAAAATTTAAAAATTAATGCACAGAAATCTTTTGCATTTGTATACACTAATGATGAAAAATCTGAAAGAGAAATTAAGGAAACACTCCCATTTACCATTGCAACAAAAAGAATAAAATACCTAGGAGTAAACCTACCTAGGGAGACAAAAGACCTGGATGCAGAAAACTGTAAGACACTGATGAAAGAAATTAAAGATGATACCAACAGATGGATAGATATACCATGTTCTTGGATTGGAAGAATCAATATTGTGAAAATGACTCTACTACCCAAAGCAATCTACAGATTCAATGCAATCCCTATCAAATTACCAATGGCATTTTTTACAGAACTAGAATAAAAAATCTTAAAATTCGTTTGGAGACACAAAAGATCCCAAATAGCCAAAGCAGTCTTGAGGGAAAAAAATGGATCTGGAGCAATCAGACTCCCTGACTTCAGAGTATACTACAAAGCTACAGTAATCAAGACAGTATGGTACTGGCACAAAAACAGAAATATAGATCAATGGAACAGGATAGAAAGCCCAGAGGTAAACCCACACACCTGTGGTCAACTAACCTATGACAAAGGAGGCAAGGATATACAATGGAGAAAAGACAGTCTCTTCAATAAGTGGTGCTGAGAAAACTGGACAGCTACATGTAAAAGAATGAAATTAGAATACTCCCTAACACCATACACAAAAATAAACTCAAAATGGATTAGAGACCTAAATGTAAGACTGGACACTATAAAACTCTTAGAGGAAAACATAGGAAGTACACTCTTTCACATAAATCACAGCAAGATCTTTTTTGATCCACCTCCTAGAGTAATGGAAATAAAAACAAAAATAAATAAGTGAGACCTAATGAAACTTAAAAGCTTTTGCACAGCAAAGGAAACCATAAACAAGACGAATAGACACCCCTCAGAATGGGAGAAAATATTTGCAAATGAATCAACAGAGAATGGATTGATCTCCAAAATATATAAACAGCTCATGCAGCTCAATATTGAAAAAACAAACAACCCAATCAAAAAATGGGCAGAAGACCTAAATAAACATTTCTCCAAAGAAGAAATACAGATGGCCAAGAAGCACATGAAAAGCTGCTCAGCATCACTAATCATTAGAGAAATGCAAATTAAAACTACAATGAGGTATCACCTCACACTAGTTAGAATGGGCATCATGAGAAAATCTACAAACAACAAATGCTGGAGAGGGTGTGGAGAAAAGGGAACCCTCTTGCACTGTTGGTGGGAATGTAAATTGATACAGCCACTATGGAGGACAGTATGGAGGTTCCTTAAAAAACTAAAAATAGAATTACCGTATGACCCAGCAATCCCACTTCTGGTCATATACCCAGAGAAAACCAGAATTCCAAAAGACACATGCACCCTAATGTTCATTGCAGCACTATTTACAATAGCCAGGTCATGGAAGCAACCTAAGTGCCCATCGACAGACAAATGGTTAAAGAAGTAGTGGTACATATATACAATGGAATATTACACAGCCAATAAAAGGAAAAAATTGGATCATTTGTAGAGACATGGATGGATCTAGAGACTGTCATACAGAGTGAAGTAAGTCAGAAAGAGAAAAACATATATCGTATACTAATGCATATACGTGGAATCTAGAAAAATGGTACAGATGAACCAGTTTGCAGGGCAGAAATAGAGACACAGATGTAGAGAACAAACGTATAGACACCAAGGGGGGAAAGGGGCGGGGTTGGTGGTGGTGTGATTAATTGGGAGATTGAAATTGACATATATACATTAATATGCATAAAATGGATAGGTAATAAGAACCTGCTGTATAAAAAAAATAAAATAAATCTTTTATTTTCAACACTTGGAATCCAGCTGTTATTAAATTCTGTGAAAAATCAACTTTGCTTTCCCATACACACTAATTTTCAAAAAACGGATAGTAGACATGAAAACTATATAAAGTCTACATATTTGGAACCTATTTGAGTTGAAAAAAATAGAAGTTTGGAATCCATGTTACCTACTAATGTAATTGTACCATCTACAATATCTGTAAAAACTATCTTATTGAAAAATTATCAAAAATTTCTTATTGAAAAAAGATACCATTGAAAATGGTATCTCTTTTAAGAATGATGTATGTATGTGTGTGCATGTGTATGTCTCTGTGTGAAGTTTTATTACATAACTGGAATGGAAAAAGATTAATAACAATGCCTTGATTTATGGCTGCCCCATTTAAGCTTTCTCCCACAGTTTACTAACATAACTCAGTTATTTCCTTCACACAGACCTTTATTCCAATCAGTCATTCCCCACGTTTTTTGACTTCCTACTGTAAAAAGAATACATGAACAAAACAAAATCTTTAGCAACCACATCTGATGAAACAGTGTCCAAAAATGCTTTCAAATAGTTTCTTTCTACAAAAACAGCCCATGGCATCACAATGCATATTAATCACTATTAAAACTGAGGAAAAGATTTTAAATTGCCCTTTTTAAAAAAGATTTTTTAGTGAATTTTTAAATTGAGGTACAGTTGATTTATAATATTATATAATTTTCAGGTGTAAAACATAGTAATTCACAATTTTTAAAGGTTATACTCCATTTATAGTTATTATAAAATATTGGCCATATTCCCTGTACTGTACAATATATCTTCATAGCTTATTTTATACATAGTAGTTGTACCTCTTGGTCCCCTACCTCTATCTTGCTCCTCCCCTTCCCTCTCCCCACTGGTAACCACTAGTTTGTTCTCTATATCTGTGTGTCTGTTTCTTTTTTGCTCTATTTACTAGTTTGTGTTATTTTTTAAATTCTGCATATAACATACAGTATTTATCTTTCTCTGTCTGACTCATTTCACTGAGCATAATACCCTCCAAGTTCATCCATGTTGTTGCAGATGGCAAAATTTCATTCCTTTTTATGGCTGAGTAGTATTCCATTGTATATATATATACCACATCTTCTTTATCCATTCATTCGTTTGTTTGTTTGTTTTTTGAAGTATAGTTGATTTACGGTGTTGTGCCAGTCTCTGCTGTACAGCAACATTCATCTGTTGGTGGACACTTAGGTTGCTTCCATATCTTGGCTATTGTAAATAATGCTGCTGTGAACATTGGGGTGCATATATCTTTTCGAATTAGTGTTTTCATTTTCTTCAGATGTATACCCAGGAGTGGAATTGCTAGATTATATGATAGTTCTGTTTTTAATTTTTTAGGGAACCTCCATACTATTTTCCACAGTGGCTGCACCAGTTTATGTCCCTACCAACAGTGTACAAGGGTCGCTTTTCTTCACATTCTCACTGACATTTATGATTTGTGATCTTTTTGATGATAGCCATTCTGACAAGTGTGAAGTGATATCTCATTGTGGTTTTGATTTGCAGTTCTCCAATGATTAGTGATGTTGAGCATCTTTTCACGTGCCTGTTGGCCATCTTAATGTCTTCTTTGGAAAAATGACTATTCAGGTCTTCTGCTCATTTTTTAATCTTGGTTTGTTTGCTTTATTTTTTTTTGATGTTGAGTTGTATGAGATGCGTATATTTTTTGGATATTAATCCCTTATCAATCATATTATTTGCAAATATTTTCTCCCATTCAATAGGTTGTCTTTTCATTCTGTCAGTGGTTTCCTTTGCTGTGCAAAAGCTTTTAAGTTTAACTAGGTCCCATTTGTTTAGTTTTGCTTTTGTTTCCTTTGCTTTAGGAGACAGATCCAAGAATATATTGCTACAATTTATATCAAAGGGTGTTCTGCTTCTGTTTTGTTCTAGGAGTTTTATGGTTTCCAGTCCTACATTTAGGTTTTTAATCCATTTTGAGTTTATTTTTGTATATAGTGTGAGAAAATGTTCTAATTTCATTATTTTAATGTAGCTGTGCAGTTTTCCCAGCACCACTATTGAATACACTATCTTCTCCCATTGTATATTCTTGCCTCCTTTGTCATAGATTAATTGACCATAAATGCATGAGTTTATTTCTAGGCTCTGAATTCTGTTCCATTAATCTGTGTGTCTGTTTTCGTTCCAGTACCCTGCTGTTTTAATTACTGTAGCTTTGTAGTATAGTCTGAAGTCAGGGAGTGTGATACTTCCAGCTCTGTTCTTTCTCAAGATTGTTTTGGCTATTCAGGGTCTTTTGTGTTTCCATGCAAATTTTAAAATTATTTGTTCTAGTTCTGTGAAGAATGCCACTGGTATTTTGATAGGGATTGCACTGAATTTGTAGATTCAATTCAAAACATTTCCTTTAATATCAGGAACAAGACAAGGATGCTCACTCTTGCCACTTTTATTCAACATAGTATTGGAAGTCCTAGCCACAGCAACCAGATAAGAAAAAGAAATAAAAGGAATCCAAATTGGAAGGGAAGAATAAAACTGGGAAGAATGATACTATACATAAAAAATCCTAAAGACACTACCAAAAAACTACTAGAGCTCATCGGTGAATTCAGTAAAGTTGCATGATATAAAATTAATGTACAGAAATGTTGCATTTCTATACACTAACAATGAACTATCAGAAAGAGAAATTAAGGAAACAGTTCCACTTATGATCACATCAAAAAGAATAAAATACCTAGGAATAAACTTGCCTACGGAAGTAAAAGACCTGTATTCAGAAAACTATAAGACACTGATGAAAGAAATTGAAGATGACACAAACAGATGGAAAGATATACTGTGTTCATGGATTAGAATTCATTTTGTTAAAATAACCATACTACTGACATTATCCTGCTGAAAGAAAATCTGTGTTGATCGTTTTTGATTTTGCCTTTGTGGGGTAAACTCATAACAGATTGACATAAAAAAATCTGAGAAAAAACACCCATACTACCTGAGACAATCTACAATTCAATATATTGCCCTTTAAAAAAGAAACAGTACATTTGTACAACCCTTGGCTAAGTAATCTGAGGATATTTTAATCCAGCTCTGATTAGTTGAAGAATACAACAAGACCACTATCATGAGCACATCAGTTTTAGCTGTCAGAATAAGGTGTCTCTGATGAGAGGCCATTGTCGTCACCTGTTTTTCTTTGCCCAGCCAACTCCAGCCCCCTTCTTCCAGTTACATAAACATTGTTATAGAAAGGCCAGCCATCATATTCCATCCTTCATTCTAGATTCATCATCAGTCTTGTTTGTACTCACAATCCCAGCTCTACCTTTTCTTCAGCTCTACTTCACAATCGATGGGTGTGGTCCCTGTTCCTGGGTTCCACATTCAATGCAGAATCCACATAGTTCACAACACAGTCATAGGTTCATTCATCTTTTCCTTTGGTCGTTCCCATTCGGTAAGCTCTCCTCTTGTACTAATACTTTGTCTGAATTTATCACTTACACTGTGAAGTTTTAGAAATACGTGCTGGGAAGAGCATCCAAGTTCCTTATACTATTCTTGAGTTAACCAAAATACTTGGTTTCTAGTGTTGTTGGAGATCAGTTATTGCCCAATACAACCAATATCCTCCCACACATCTTTTAGTACTGCTTTTGCTACATTCCATAAGTTTTGGTATATTGTGTTTTGCTTTTGTTTGTCTTGAGGTATTTTCTAATTTCCTTTTTTATTTTTTCTTTGACCCAATGGTTGTTCATGAGTGTGTTGTTTTATTTCCACATATTTGAATTTTCCAGTTTTATTTCTGCTATTGATTTCTAGTTTTGATTGCAGTCAGAAAAGATGCTTGGCATAATTTCATTCTTCTTAAATTTGTTAAGACTTGTTTTGTGACCTAAGATGTGATCTATTCTGGAGAAAGTTCCAGGTATACCTGAAAAGAATGTATATTTTGCTGCTTTTAGGTGGAAGTACTGTATTGATAAAAGTTACGGAGGCTGAGAAGTCCCACAGTCTGCTATCTGCATGCTAGAGAACCAGGAAAGCCGAGGTATAATTCCCTCAGCGTCTGAAGGCCCGAGAACAAGGAGCTGTGGTGTCTGAGTAAAGAAGTTTATGTTCCAACTTAAGAAGAGCAATACTTGACTTTTAACTCACCTTTCTCAATACAGAGGGTGAGTGCCCTGAAGACTGAGCCAGTGTGCTACTCCTCTACATGTGGATGCCTCCCACCCCATCCTGAAAAATTAATGTCCGCAGAGACAGTCTCTCATGGAGTGCCTCAGGGCTCTGTATCCATTCCTGTCCTGTGTTGTGCTCCTGTCAGTGACTCAGATGAGGAATTGAGCATGCACAGAGGACAGGAAGCTGAAAGGACAGTAGCTTACTAGAGGCACAGTGAGGATCCAGAAGGCACACAGCATGTTGCGTCAAGGAGCCTAACCACTCTACGGATGAGTAGTCATCCTGAAATCAAACTCTAACTCTCCTCCCAAAACCACTGCAAAGTCCAGGCTGGGGATGATGGAGCTGCTGCTGCAGCTGAGGGAAAAGGATCTGGGGGCTGAGTGAGCTACAGGATGACTGACCAGAAGGCTCTGGGCTCTGGGTGATGTCTTCATAGGAATACGTTGACCAAAGAAAGGAGAGGAGGACGTGGAAAGGACGGAGGGAGGCAGCAAGAAGAAAACCTCCTCCAGGGCCTTCAGTATAAATGATTTGGGGATATTATCCCGGAACAGTACACAGTTTTGTTTTGTTTTTTTAATAAATTTATTTATTTTTGGCTGTGTTGGGTCTTTGTTGCTGCGCGCAGGCTTTCTCCAGTTGTGCTGAGCTGGGGCTACTCTTTGTTGCAGTGTGCGGGCTTCTCATTGAGGTAGCTTCTCTTCTTGCAGAGCACAGGCTCTAGGTGCATGGGCTTTAGTAGTTGTTGCACACGGCTCAGTAGTTGTGGCTCGCGGGCTCTAGAGCGCAGGCTCAGTAGTTGTGGCACACGGGCTTGGTTGCTCCGTGACATGTGGGATCTTCCTGGACCAGGGCTCGAACCTGTGTCCCTTGCATTGGCAAGCAGATTCTTAACCACTGCACCACCAGGGAAGTCCCAATACACAGTTTCTAAACTGAGTACAACTCACTTTCCAAACTTTAAATGACTTTAGGGACAAAACTGGTCCCAAAAAGGAAACTGAGACTCAAATTACCTTCTATAGGCAATGGCAAGTTCTTTGGAGATCATTCCTGGAGCACCAAGGCAAGTGGAGTGGGGAGACCTGGACCTTCATCCATCACAGGGACTGACAATCTCCCTCCTCTTCCTGCTTTAGACCCAGTGTGGCTATTTCTGATACGTGGCCTGTTCCCAACCCTTAGAAGAGTGATCACTCTTTCACATCATGTTTCTGATAAAGGCAAGTGAAGGTTTTGGTAAAAGGACTCTGAGATAATCATTAGCACAAGCTCATTTCTAAGAATAGGTCTGATTGTTCAGTGGAATAGGGCTCAAAATGGGGGAAAAGAGGTGATTTCAGTGGTATGGCAAGTGCTGAATGCAGCACAGCCCCTCATGGTGGGACATAATATCCTGAAAGACATCTCAAAATTATTTAGGAATTGTGCACAGTTCCTCTCAACTGTATGACATTTTTTGGGGACGCTATAAGAGTAGCAACGTTGATTCTCTATCATCTTATTGCCAAAACCAACTTATTTCTGAATATCTGGAGGGCATGGGGGAAGAACTAACTTTGTTTGAGGACTGCAGAAGGCAGAGCCGGGTGGAATTTGCAGGGAGGCAGAATTTCCTGTCTATAGGATTGATACTTTAAAATGTAATAAACCTCCTCAGCAACCAGAGAGCCTGCTTTACTCAAGTATTCCAGCTGAGGCCAGAGGACCATGGTCAAGGAAGTAGTGGGCCTGCATGCTTTGGGGGTGGGGGTGCGGTGGTTGGCCTGGGTTGACCCTCAGGCCTCTCCCATGCCTGGATCTACAGTTTTCTGTCAGCATAAAGAAAGCCAGAACTGAAGGATGGCCAACAAGGTGTGTTTTAGGAAGCCCTGAATAAGCAGGTGGCATCCACCCCATGACTGTTTCTATGACTATTTTTGCACGTCTGCTGAAAGAAAATATTTTGGAAAATCTTTCCAAACTTGAATTACTTCCAAATCAATTAATTGGGCTTAAGTGATGCCAAAGGGAAGCATTCTTTATTCTTAGGAAGGGGGAGGTTGGAACCATGATTCCAGTCATGAATAAACCAAATGGTTTCCTTCCTCCAGTGGAAGAGGAGCTGCTCAAGGGGATTCATGACATCCAACCCCTGGATCGGAGAAGGACTCTGACCTCGGAGGTATGGGGCCCCATATAGAGTTCCTGCAGACGCCAGCTGTGTGGGGAAGAGGTCAGGCGTGATGGGCATTCAGTCATCTAGCCTGACCTTTGCATTTAGGGGCAGAGGGGATAACACGGCTGGTAATAGGGCCTCAGAAAAACCCAAGGAGGGTGAGGTTGTCCTCAAAACCTGTCAGTGGACATTGCTTATTCTGGGGAAGTCTTTTGATCAGGCAAATGTCCAGGAAGAAATCACGCAAGTCTCTAAAGAATGCTTTTCATTTGTTTGTCTGTTGATTGTCTGTTTTCAAAAGGTCGTAGCGGCAGAATGGAATACCTGGGAATACAAAGTTAGGATAGTGTTCTCAGCCTTGTCTGGACATTGAAACCATCTGGGGAGCTTTAAAAAGTCCTGATGCCTGGATTCCATCACAGATATTTGGATTTCCTTGGCCCAGTGTGTAACCTAGGAAAAGAGGAGAATTAAGAGAACCATTATCTTTAGACCTCTGATGAGCTATTATGGGGCAGAAAGGGGTGACATGCTCTATGTGTCCCCAGAGAGCAGGACTAGGACTAAAACTGGGAAAATATAAAGAGACTTGACCCAAGAGACAAATTTTTCAGACGATAAAAGATGTATAAAGCTAGAATTGGCTTCCTAAAAAGGTGATGAGATCTTCATTGGTGGATGGGATCAAGCAAACACTGGATAGTAGCAGCTTGGATGTAAAAAGGAAAATTCAGGGAGACTAGATGTTTGGAGGTCCCTTTTCCAAGGCTGAAGTCTTTAAAGTCAGGGATGAGGCATTAGCCTGACTTCAGTGGCAATGGTATGAGAAGCTACCCAGGGAATTGGAGCTCTCTGGAGGCTGAGATAGTGGCTGTTAATGTAGCCTGGCTTCCCAGGGTATCAGTGCAAACTGGCCAGGACAGCACTACAGCCAGGGGGATGATAAGCGCCTTAGAATGCAACCATACTCCACAACACAGCTGCCCAAGCCCAGCCCTCAGGACCTGATTGGATGTCACCTTCCCCAGGTGGCCTTCCTGTCCATCTTGCCCTTCCAAAGTGACCTATCAGTGCCCCCTCCCTGGAACTGTAGTCTATTCTGGAGCCAATGCATCCTTCCCTGAAAGGCTGTGGATTTTCTGTCATGTGTGAGTGAGTCATGTTGGCTTGATGAATGGAGAGAGGAAGACAGGATGGCGTAAAGGACAGATGAGACGATGGCCTGGGACCTGGGCTGTCTATTACAGGAGGATAAGGGGAAGGTCAGATGTTTCTATGAGGGTAACATGAAGAGAAGAAAGCCTGCCAAGAGCTGTAGATTCAGGGCTGATCATTTCACCAGCCCTGGGCACCAAGGGAGAAAAACATGAAGTGAATCTCATCTCACTTTTCTGACCAAGATTTAACAAGATAACAAGATTTAACAAGATAAGTCCATCATCCAGCATATACCAGTAGAAATGAATATGTCTGATCAGGTAAATTAAATCACCACATGGGCATCTCGAATGTCTCTCACACAGAGAGTGGCTTAAGATGACAAAGTAGATTCCTTTCTAGTCCCCTGAATTGTACTGAGAATCACAGAGAGTCCATCCATTGTTAAAGCTGTTTTCCTTT